TTTCTTTTGAATGTAGTTCCCTTAGACTACAGATCCCTGCCGACTTGATCACAGGCATTTCGTCTCCGGCTCTCACCGCCAGTAGGAAATGTACTCTTTTTGTCTTAGCTTTGTTCTTCGCTTTATCGCTTTGTCGTGGGCAATGCAAAATTGCACCTTGCTAATTTGAGTAACTCGATCTATCGGTGCAACATGTCTAACATCGCCCGTAATGACAGTGTCATGTCAAGCCACCTTATCGTTTCTTTTTTTCGTGCCCTTCTCACACTACCTCTTTCCGCAACTCTGTCAGTAGTGCCTCTTTCTCTCTCACTCTGAGCTCACACTTTCAATCGAATCACTGCAAAAATACACTGCGACACTTTTTTGTTGTGTCTGTGATTGCCGTTGTATGAAAGCGGTCGCTCGTGAGTCTGAATCACACACACTCACACAGGACTACAAACGTCGCCTTCAATGGTGTTGTTTTCGCTCCAAAGAGCCATTTTCGCCGCTGAAGTGCCTCTGGCAGTTCAGCTGACACTACTCTACTGTGTCCACTACCACCACTGGCTTTGCGTGGTCTACCGGTGCCTCCTCCTCCTCCTCCTCTGCGCACCACGAATCCCTAATTAATTTTCCAGTCTATTAATTTGCTACACTTTGCAGTGGTGACAGTGCGCCCAAGTGCGCAATTAATTCATAACCTTAGCGTGAATCTTTCTATTATCGGCTGTTGCCTTCATCAATAAGAGAGTCTGCCCGCGCACTAGCTGTAGCAACACTGTCGCGCCTACCTCTTTCTGGGCAGGCACCATTGTGGCGTCAGTAGCGCCGGCAGTATCGCTGGTAGGCTCAATTGACACCAAGACACTTGCACACACTCACACTTGAGCTACTGCGGTGGTGGGCAAGCCATGTTTGTGTTCTCTTTTTCCCTCTTCCCTCCCCCTTTCCTCTCCCCATTTACCTTGCTTACATACTCTTACCTTTCACTTGTTTGTACGTCACTCTTTTCCACTGCTGTCCAAGGTTGGACTGTACCGTTGTAGTTGAGTTGTGCGGCAATCATTTTATGGACACGGCCTAAAGGTGCCGTCTAATTGGGCTGCGCGCGCTTCATTACGTTCATCATCGCTGGCTCTCAACCTGTGCAATGGGATTGTACGACGTGTGAGGGGAAAGGAAGCGCTTCAGCAAACTGTTTGTCTTCGCCTTTTGCCCCACACTATTGTAGCACTTTGAAGACGCTCTCGGCCAATTACGTCGAGTGCTCTGCATTCTGGCAAACATTTAAGCTGTGTCGGTTACAAACTGGGCTGAGCCTTTCTCCATCCTCTGCCCGAGTAGTGCCCAGCACAGAAGGGAGCCATTAGTGCGATTAAGCCACAATTAGCAGTGTCGCCATAGTCTTGCGCTTATTAACTCATTGGCGGTATTCAACAACAGCTGAGCGAGCGCACACGTCACCGTGCCGTCTAATTGAGTGGCTACTAATCTGGCCCTCTCTCTCATTCCGCATGTCTGACAGTTGCACTACTTCATGCCATTACCATCAGCAAATGGTACTATGACATTTAAGGTTTCGTTTACACACTGCTTTCCTATATTTAGCATTCAGACGGATTGACAGAAATACGATGTTTATATGGGCAAAATTGCTATGTGCTCTACTGATTACTCATATGCAGCGCTGGTGTTGTATACTTTTCTCTGTGTGTGGTTCGTCTGCTTCAGAAGCCCTGACCACCACTTGTTATTGTTTGGCATCCCTTTGTTTGCCCAAGTTGACAAAGTTCAACCACTATTAGTTGGATTTATTCTATCTAAATGTCCTTCCTTTGTCAAGCTATCACTTACAACTGCATTTTTTCATTTTCTATTTTAAGGTACCAGAAGTCGTATCAACAGCAATGCCAGCAGCGTCAGCGACGAAATTGACTTTAAGGTATTTTTTGTCTTTTACAACCGCTTTTCATATAAACTTGACTCATTCATTCTTTTCTCCATTGTAGAAGACGCCTTCATTTAAAAGGGCAACATCGGCGCCTCCTGTCAAGCGCAATGTTCCTTTGTCTGCAAAGTATGCACCATCCTCCAGTAAGTTTGCATTGTCGAATGCAGATAAAATGGTAACTGACAATTGTTTCATTTTCGCAGAATCTTCTGGGGCAGCTGACGAGGAAATGTTTATGAATTCCTTTGAAGAAGTGCCTCGAATTCAACTCTTCTCCGTCAAGGACCTCGAACAAGAGCTTAATCGATTTAAAGAAATCTGTTCAGACCCAAACAACATGTGGGAAAAGCGGACTGACAGTTTACGCAGGCTTAGATCTCTTCTGCTGGCTGGTGCGGCCGACTATGACGTCTTTTACTCGTATCTGAAACCACTTGAAGTGCCATTTCAAGTCTCTATAAGAGATCTACGCTCGCAGGTGGTTCGGGAGGCCTGTATATCGATCGCCTACCTGTCACAACGAATTGCTAATAAGTATGTACTTGGCAAACTAGTGCTAGGCGCGCACTCAAGCATTCTCATGTTAATCGATTTTGTTGACATTTTTAGATTGGATAAATTTGCAGAAGCTCTCTTCCCCACGTTGATAAACCTTATTCAAAATAGTGCCAAAATTATGTCCAGTTCGGCAGTGGTGGCGATTCGTTTTATCATTCAGCACACACACGCAAACAAGTTGATTCCCATCATTACCTACAATGTGTCTTCTAAATCAAAGGAGATTCGAAAGACTTGCTGTGAGTTTCTCGACCAACTTCTCCACACCTGGTCAGCACACACGCTGGAGAAGCACGTAGGCATCATTCAGGAGGCCATCAAGAAGGGCATCAGTGATGCTGATCCAGAGGCCCGGGCCTTTGCTCGCAAGGCTTTCTGGGGATTTGCAGACAAGTTCAAGGCAGAGTCTGATTATTTGCTCAGTTCGCTTGATTCTGGCAAGCAAAAGATGCTTCAGGGGGAGCACATTTCTAACTGGAGCTCAACTAACTCTCTCAACAAAGCGTACGCTTACACCAGGCCGCAGACTAGCCGAACTAACTCCGCCTCAACCAATGGCTCAATGGAAAGCTTAAATCGGCATTTCAGGCTCAATGGTGGGTCGTTGAAGCGCTCGGCAATACCTGTGGCAACGCCGGTGAAGCCTGCTGTCTGTAAGTACACAAGTCCGCCATCAAGTTTGCATTTTTGCCTTGTTTTATTTTTTGTTTCCTAATTTTGCTTGTTTTTTGTTGTTTGTATAGCTTCTCGCACTCCCGTTAGAGCCACTAGTGCGATAGACATTGATGCTCAGAAAAGAGCTAGAGCAAAGGCCAATACGTACCTTAACCAGCCGAAAGTTTTGTTCAATTCAGTTTACAGTTCAAGTATGTTTTGTTCTTTTGTTCTTTTTGCTATTTCCCCATAGCTTTGAACTGACTAACCGTTTTATGTCTAACTGATAACTGATTTACAACAAATTATTTTAACTTCCCTTCACTGTAGCCCACCAAACGCCCCGAAAGCCGGCCAGCACCATATCTAATGATGTCGATCGGTCGAACCGGAAGAGTCGCGTTTCCATGTCTCAGCCTGGAAGTCGATCTGCTTCGCCTTCTTCTCGACTCAGCTACTACAGCAATATTCCCTCTACGGATACTCAAAATCGAACGCCTCGAACTCGAAAGTTGAGCGTCACAAGTAGAGAGCAAAGTCCGTCAAGGACGCCCGCGTACGAGCGAAGACTTAGCAACAGCAGTAGTGCTAGCAGAAGTACAAGGAGTTACTTGATCAACTCTGACTTAGACCTTAGCAACAAAAAGATTTTAAATCACAATGACGAGCAGATGTTTGAGAATGCTTTACTTACAAATGTGACGCCTAGAAAAAAGTTTTACTATGATCACTCGGACGAAAGTGAAACATCGAGGTGAGTTGCAATTGGAAAGTTGCTTTGTTTTCAACAGCCTCATTTTCTCATGCCTCTTTTGCCTTGTATCATTCCTTTACAGTATCTGCTCGGATGTTTCTTTCGCCAACTACTGCGATCGAAAGGTGGAGGATATTTCGAAAATTTTAGAAAATCTGTCTAGCACTCATTGGACTGATAGGAAGGCGGCGGAAGTGGCGGCTCATTTTGCCATGTCCAACTATGATCCTGTCCGATGCTTTCAGCTGATTAAGCCGTACATAAATTCAAATGAAAGTTCAATATCAATTGCTTCAATAAAAATGCTGACCAAGGTAAGTGTGTTAAAGTGAGCCACTGAAAGTCCTTCTAATTGTCCTTTTTCAGCTGGTCGAGTGTAACAAGGCACAGGTGAATGACCTCTTGCCCGAGATGATGCCAAGCTTGCTTCAGGTAATTAATTCACTTTTTTGTAGTGTCATTTGTTCTAATTGTACTACCTCCATTTAACAGGCTTACGACAGTGTGGAGTGTGCCGTTCGTAAGGCGACAGTATTCTGCATGGTGGCGATCTACGGAGCTGTTGGTGAAGTGATGAACACCTATTTAACCGAACTGAGCACTTGCAAATCAAAACTGTTGAAGCTGTATATTGACCGTTCCTTAAAAGACAGAAAGTGACCCTTGTCGCCCATGTGATCTTCGCTGAAAGTCTCTCATCAGATGTACATAGTTTTTGTCCTCTCCTTTCCCATCTCATTTTCCATAATTTATTGTGTTTTTATCTTACATCTTACAAAATAAAACGACGATCATAGTTCCTCAAATGATAAGAACCGAGTAAATAAAAGAGCCGTGGCAGTCTTACCGGCGGCCGGCGACAAGAACTGGTCATTGAACCAGTTTGTCTATTTTGCGTTATCACTTTGCTATTTCGCAGTGATGTCGTCTGCAAGGCGCGCAAGTGCAACTGTTTTGGAGGGAAAGCCGCGTACACAAACATTAGTGATTCAGCAGTGTCTACGTGTGTCGAGACTAGAAAGTTGCTTTCAATTTCACTTGGATCATTTCAACTGCCTGACCAGTTTCTGTGTTCATCATTCTATTCACCACCTGACGATGCCGGAGACAATTGACCAAAAGTACAACAAAATCGAGAAGATCGGAGAAGGCTCATATGGCATTGTTTACAAAGCCAAGAACAAAGAAAGTGAAGGTTTAGTTGCCCTCAAGAAGATTCGCCTCAACACGTTTGTATTTCTAATTGTTATCGTGATTTACTTCAACTAATATATGCTTTTGATTCAGAGATTTTGAGGGAGTTCCATCAACGGCCATTCGTGAGATAACGCATCTCAAATCGCTTAGGCACGAAAATGTAGTTCGGTAATTTGAAACTGAAAAGAAAAGTTTGTGATTTTAACCATGTTGATGTGTTTTCTTTTAGATTGTTTGATGTAATTCTCTGCGACAACTTTCTTTACCTTGTATTCGAGTACATGAACCAAGACCTTAAAAAGTTGTTGGACCACACGCCTTCAGAAGGACTGCCACCTAAACTTATAAAAAGCTACCTCTGGCAGTTGTTAAAAGGCATTTCGTACTGTCATATGAACCGTGTTCTTCACCGAGATATGAAACCCCAAAACCTGCTAATCGACAAAAACGGATACATTAAAATTGCTGATTTCGGACTTGCGCGTGTGTTTACTCTTCCGATGCGAATCTTCACTCACGAAGTGGTCACCCTGTGGTATCGATCTCCCGAGATTCTTCTCGGAACCAATTACTACGGTCCTTCAATCGATCTGTGGAGTATCGGCTGCATCTTTGCGGAAATGTCCAACAAAAAGCCGCTCTTCTCGGGAGACAGTGAAATTGACCAGATATACCGAATTTTCCGCACTCTTGGTACGCCCGACTTGAAAACTTGGCCTGACGTTGCCAAGCTTGAAGACTACAAGCCCAACTTTCCTAAATGGCAAAAGCAGAATTTAAATAGACTTCTAACTAATTTCGACGATGTTGCCATCGATCTTCTTGAGGTAAAGTATCATTTCTATTGAATTTGAGAGTGTCTTAACACTAATTTATTTCCAGAAATTGCTCATCTATGACCCTAACCAACGAATTTCTTCAACGAAAGCCCTCACTCATCCTTACTTCAATGACGTTTCCTCCTGCCTGCCAACCAACTATGTCAATATTGAATGATTTTTGTTATTAATTTTAGGTCCACTTCAAAAATTACAGTCAATATGGATACTTTGTACTGAATATGAATATGAGTAGATGATTAATGAGATGAGTATGTGGTGAAGCTGATGTGGGTGACAGTAATGAAGACAGTAAATGGTTAGGTGTGTAAAAGATTGATAGATTATGCAAAAATGCTACAAATACTACAGATAGTGTTTTGAGTTGTGCATGATGAGTATGATGATAATGCCTGTGAAACGATGGTATAAATAGATGGGAGTAGAGGTGCAGGAGAATGAGCGACGCGCTTAGGGCAGTGGGACGTGCTTGTTCAGTCCAGTGGCGTAGAGAAGGTTGACGACAGTGGCGGCAGCAGAGGGGAGGAAACCGAGCAAAAAGCCGGGTGTGCGATATTCGGGCTGGATGTTATAGCCGATGATGAAGAGGATGCGGCCAATGGCGAAGGTGTACGCGAGGAAGGGAATGACAAAGAGAAGGTCCGCAGGGAGGAAGGTGGCCAGGATGAGCTGGTTGACGGCGCTCAGGATGAACTGCTCCACGGTGTTGTTCAGAATGCGAACTGGCTTGTCCACCAGCTTCTCATAGCCAGACAGTGGGTTGCGAGCCTTGGAGTTGCAGCGGACGAGCATGACGTGCACCAGAGCCACTAGCAGAGGCACCAGGGCGAAGGTTTGCTGCTGAAGGGCATACACCAGGCGATCTACAGGAGAGGGAATTGTTAAATAGTGGTGATCTCAGTTAGTTGACATGATCAGTGAGTGTTTGGGTGGCTGACAGTCTTACCAGACACTTGAACTGCCTTGGGCACCTTGAGGATGCTTCGGTGGTGCTTGGCCACGACGTAGGAGGCCACCGCCAAGACGGCAACAGTTCCACCGGTGGTCCAGAGCAGAGGATCGGAGATGGCCTCGAGAACGGATGAAACCTTGCCACCGGAGGAGGCACCAGCAGTGCGCCCAGTGATGCTGCCTGTAGTTTTTCTCGCCGTTTGCGAGCGGGTTTGGGGAGTTCGGGCTGACATGATGTCTTGATGGTAGTATCTGCTGAGGGATATTCAGTCGGGGTGAAGAGGAGATGCTGATGCACAGTGATCGATGGTGATCGGGGAAGGGATTCAGTCGGTGAGAGTGAGAGTGGTGAAAGCAGTAGCCAGTTCAGTGTTCAGCGGCAGACTTGGACGGTTGGAAAATTGGCGGGAGCGACCACCACCAACGGTCATCAATAGGTAGCAGTAGCAGTGGCCATTGAAGCCATTGGTCGGAGGAGGAGCGTCAGACTAATGCGCAATGCTTTGCGCACTTGGATCTGCCCGGGTTTGATGTGCCTGCGCTGGGTTTTGTTTTCCTTTTGGCACGTTGACCTCGTAGAAAAATCATCAGGACTTTATATCACATGTTTTTCAAACTATGAAAAACATTTTTAAAAACTTAAAAAATGTTATTTTATGAATGCACTGTAGCCTAAATACCTAAAGTGTGAAGTTTGTGTAGTATGCTAGCTTCTGTCAATAGTCGATCTCTAAAATGATTTGTATTTTATTCATGCTTAAATATTAGTTATAAAGGTTCAAATGTGTCATGAAAATACTATAAAAGAAGATTTTCAAACTTGGTTTTAAGGAAAAAGTAGGAATAAACTTCAAATAACAAGAAGGATCAAACTGTTTGAAACTACACTTCTAGTACTTGCATTTGCGTTACTCTGCCAAAGATGGCACTACTGTTTGTAGTTGTTAGATTTTCGAATTTT